TTAGCCTTATCCGATTGTAAATAGAATTTTGTTCATCTGTTAGTACTGGCTCACTCTTTGCAATAATTTTAGTTAAATTACATGGTCTTATTGCTTATACTTAAATATCATTTATTATACTTTAATTTACTTCAATATGTTTAATTAAATGACATAAATATGAATGAGGATAGCATAATCGTCTTCTTCATGAAAAAATACATATACATACCAATTTTCATAATGATCGGTCAAATGGTTTCTTTGTCTATCGATTTCACATCCTTTTTTATACATATATATACAGATTAGGAAGAAAATTCGTCTGCTGAACAAAGATGTTTCACGGAATTTGATGAAATTGACGCGAACGATCTCAATTTCCAACAAGACGGTACGCCGCCTCTTGATTCACGTCCAAACAGGGACACATTGCGTGCAAAGTATTTTCGAAAAATTGCCCAGTCAAATGGCCGCCAAGATCATTCGATTTAACGCCTCTAGATTATTTTTTCCGGGGGTATGTTAAATCAAAGGTTTACGCCAATTAACCAGCAGCGCTCAAAGATCGCGTTGACAGCATTCAGCGCACTATAGCCATAATTCCAGCCAAAAAGCTGCACCGGGTCATCAAAATTTTGTATAAACGGATAATTTTGTTCTAATCATAAACAGTTCTCTACTCTCTGTAGTTTATAGGGTCCCGCCGCTTTCTTTTGGGTGGTACAAACATAGTGGTAACTTAATATACCCTGTTCAGGATATAAAGATAATAATAAGATAATTGGCCATATGAAGTGGTAACTACAAATATACAAACATTTTTATATACAGCAACGCAGCTTTCATACCAACGCCAACTCATAAAAATATCCAGACTTGAAGAAATTCAAAATATTGTATCGAAATTTACTTCCGACTACATGTCCGTTACATTGTGGCGAATCACTTTATGAATACAAGTGCATACTAATAAATATTTACATACACACACACACACACATAAACATATGTGCGTATGTGTTTTCATATGCCGGTCGTTGAAGCGCAAAATTTGTTATGTAAGCTGACAACTCGCTCAAGACCGGATGTAATATGCTGCCTGGCATCAGTGTTTATCTTGACTTTCTTAAGACTGCTCAGCTATTGATGGTGCTGGTGGTGGTCTTTTGCAGATTGCTGTTGACACTTCGTCTTGCACACTTGTGTTGTCGCCCAACGCTTGCTCAAAGACATTTAGCCACAAAGCATCTTTCGCGGTGACTCTCTCACACCGCTGCTGCCTCGGCCGAAAAGCTGACAATGTTCAGCAGACCTGAAGGGTTGGTCGCGCTAAGACTCGCTTTGTGGGGTAACTGTAAGTTTGCCTTCATCAGTGGCGCGTGCAATTGTGTCATGGCAACAACAATAACAACACCAACACTAACTACAATTATACATCAGGCTGCTGGGTCCATGCTGCAGTATCTTTGTAAAAAGCTCAGTGTCGCCTCGTCTGCTTGTCGCTCAGACTTCTTTTGACAAAGTTGGCGACAAGCGTGGCACGACCAGCCGAAGAAAGTCGTCAACACCACCACAGTCTTGTATCCGCTCGAGTAATAACATAATAAGGATATTGTAGAACATTTTCCATAAGCAACTGGTTGGCCGTCATGTTGAGTCGTCGCGTTGGAGGGTGCGAAATCGCTGCCATATATTTTATCCGGAAGATGCATGCATATATTATTTACAGTGTGTACTGCATATATACAACTATATAAGAGCATGTGTGGGTGTACATTTAATATTAATACTTGAACACACATTCGCCTCTGCTAGTTGATTGCAAATTCGTTTTATATCTTACAAAAATTTTGAAATAGTTTAACATATATAATTTTTCGTTAGGGTGGTTTTATTCTGTCAGCAAGACGGGAAATGTTAGGAGTTAACAGGAGAAGTTTTCAAAATCGAATATTTTTAACTGAAAGTACACCTTGGGGTCCTAAAAATATTATTTAATATAGAGTAGTGTAACAAATTAATAATTTTAATAGACTATACTGTCGGATCGCTTGGGTCATTCAGCCTCAACAAGTTAAAATATAAACTAATTTTTCTCAAAACTGCTACGGGAAATTTTAATGGTTAGTTGACTAGTATACTATTTATGATTTTTTGTTGTTATTGCAATTTTATTTGTAAACAATTTTCTGGTCAGTTTAAGTAAACAGTTTAACTGTTTCACAAATCCGCCATTTTGCAAAAACAGGTATAAAGCCGAAAACACATAATTTACCAGCAAATCTTATGTAGACTAGTAGACAGTTTTATATTTAGTTTCAGTTAGCACCAGTTTCTAGATACACACCTCGCTGTAGAGGCCTGCTTGAAAAAGAAGATTTCAAAGGTTGGACAAGTAGTCGTCATGTTGTAAAAAAATGTCTGAATAAATTTTTTTTTAAACACAAATATATGTCTAATAAAGCATGATAGAGAAAAATTATAATCTTTTTTCAGTGTCTCAGAATTGTCAAAGTTACGCCGTAAATAGGCCTATCTTATAGTAGCATTTTATATGTGGTTTTCCTTTGAAGATCTAAAAAATATTTATAATACGATACGTATTTCAATATGAGATGAATTTGTTTAAAGCTGAAATTTAATAAGCATTTCTTGATTTTAGTATATTTTTCGAATTTTTTATTGAGAAAATCTAAACAAAATATTTAAGACTAAATATAATATATTGGCGTACTTTTTTGTACATTAATATATGCCAGCGAGTAATAGCTTTTATTATAGCAATTCTTATTTATTTTATGAAGATGTAATTTTATTATTTTATTTTACAAGTTTTTTGAGCTGATGGTTAAAGGTCTGAAGCTTAAAAATTGCACAGAAAAATATCAAAGACTATTTCATATTATCTCTTACATAAAATATCGCAAAACAACAAACTTGTTTAAAACTTCAATTGTTTCTGTCATCCGTTCCCCAATTTTTTTTTTAGTTTCTTTGCAGCTTACTGGCTTTGAGTATTGAACGCGCATGTGCTGCATTGTATTGCTCAACCAACAGCTTACTAATCCGCTCTATATTTTGTTATATCACTTTGCTTATTTAATTTCCATTGTATTTGTTTTGAAGACAGTACAGCACACATATTTACTCAATCAACTTTATTTTTAATTTACCTAAAATGGTTTTAATATTACAAATTGAACGCAGCTGACAACCGAGTGCGCCATTTCCGGCATTCAAACATCCCCCTAATCTAATTCCTAAAACATTTACCATCACTCCATAGCATTACATATTTTTAAGGCTGTATGTACTACAGCTACAACGCAACACCACCCACCACATTTGGGCTTTAAAAGAATATGCAACCCTCATCACAGCGCCTGCTAAACTTTGTAACATTTTGAACACTTCTGTTAAACCCACACTCTTTTTCCATTTTGCTAGTTCGGTATGCTGAATTATTTTCGTATTTTTAGTTTATCCATTTTCTCGGCGACCACTTAAGCAATGTCCTTGCAGCCCTTTCCCTGTGTATTTATGTACATACATTGTGTGCATTTATCCAGCCATCTTTGTATTGTGCTTTGTTTCACTTTTCACCACCCCCCTCACACTCAGAACTACCCTCACCCATACGCACCCATTTGCCCGTTTGTCCGTGCACTTGTATTTTATATCCACAAAATGAGTCATGCAAAGTATCGAAACAATGTTGCCGGCGCTTAGCTTTACACTTGCAACACACACATAGTATATATTATATATTTACATACATACATATATTATATATCTACTCAATTTATACCCTCATACGATCATGTACACTTGTAATTCGGTCTGTACTTGTTGTTGTCGGCATTTTTGTTTATTCTCTTTTAGTTTATTTGTTTTGTTATTTCGTGTTATTCGAAAGCTTAGCGTGTAAACACACAGCGCAGAGCGTTTTTTCTTCACCTTCTCCAGCTGCTAACACCCCAAGCACCTTATGAGGGTTGGGGAGCGTTTTGCGGACTTCGTAGCTGTTCTGCGTTATTTGTGCACCATTTTGTGGCAAGTTAGTTGGCAAGAAAGTAATTTCACATTTTTTACTACTTTTCCATGCACTTTCGTTGGCGTTCGTTCGGTGTTTCTTTATTCAATAAAATACGAAATCAATAAAGTAAGGCGAGCACTGTTGTTTATTTTAATTTGTAAATACTCCTCACTTACATTAACTTGCGTATATTTTACTTTATGTGAGCAAGTAAGGAGGAGTATAAATCATTAGAAAGCTTTGCTTACTTTTTATTGCTATGTGTGAAGATGGTAGTTGAGCGTGCAGCTATTCCTGATGTACAAACCATAGATTGCAATTAAGTCACAAAACTTAATAGATGCACTACACTTAAGTAAATAGTAACCATTTTAGACTTCATCTTCGTTTTGTATAATTTTCCAAAGTTAAAACGCAAGCGCTTGAAGTTTGCTTAGAGCTAAGCTAAGTGCGAAAGTTTGCGGGACGAAAGAGCCGAAAATGTTATTGATTTTTTTTTCAAGAAATTATGTAAAATTTGCTAAGCTAAGTCCTGTATAAATAAACCGCCGTAAGATTTCTTCGATTCGCCATTCACTATCTCTGGTCGCTGATCTCTTGGCAAAAAATTTACATGTAAAAGCAACATCAAAGTTAGCGAGCTCGGCCTAGAGCCAAGTGTTTTTTTTTTATTTAAGGCGGAATTAAGAGTGCTACAAAATTGCTTAAATACATATTAGTGGACATATAAGCTTGCAACATAAGTAAACAGCTGGTATAGTTCATTCGATATGCTACTCCCTAGCGTTTGACGAATCACAAAGCCATAATCATTTTTTTAATGCGATGAGTTCACTATAAAAGATATCTAAAAATATAGAGTGTATTTCTATAATTAAGAAGTTTCTCGTAAATCTTCAATTTTCAATGTCTATCAATCATCTATCTATCAATATTCAATATCTAACATTATTTTATTTATTTTATTTTTATTTCTTCGCAGTACTTCCATCTTGCATAACATTATGTGGCAGTTAAGTTGTTTTTAACAAGGTGAGTTTTGAAAGGAAATATTACTATAACTTTCCTCTTTAAACTTACAAAAGCAAAAACGATATACCATATACCGTATTCTAAACAATATCTGGAAAATGTTTGTAGTAATGAAGAGCCGAAGAACATAAGTCAAATACAGATAGAAATTTTACACTGTCCTTTATCAGAACGCCAATTCGCTTATACCATATATGGTCCATTTTAAAATAATATTTTTATACAGTCCCTCAGTTATTGAGATATCAATCTCATTTGTCGGATCTGCCGATATCGGACCGCCATAGCATATAGCTGCCATACAAATTAATCAATAAAAATTAAGGTATTATCCTAGACTACGGTACAATCTACGAACAAATGAATTCTGATCAGACTATTATCGTAGGAGTATCGCTGGCATACAAACTGACTGACTCCGTTCTTGTATGGTATAGAAAAATTTTTTTTTGACAATATATCTTTGGCATGTATTATTACCCAAGGCATCGCTCCTGATACATATGCATGTATGTGCAATTTAAAGTTCATGTCTAACAGTATTACGTAACTGTATTAAATATTGCGTAATATGTGATGCTCTTCTTTTTATTCCTTGCTTAGAGACCTTTAAGTCCTGTTATACCTTTATTGAATATTTCGTGCCGAGTGAGTTACAATTACTCTAATTGCATTTTCTCTCATCCTTGAGGTAATACTGCTTTGTCGCATATGTGTATATGTGTATGTCTGTATGTTTAAATTGTCTGCGAAGCCATAATAATTAGTTATAATCGGCTTACGAATACTCCAATTCCCTTTCAACCATAGAGATACTTATGTAATCGAATCACTTAACAAACTATAAATTACATTCGAGAAATGCCCTCTATTGCATATGTATGTATATACTATATTTTATGAATATTTAAAAACCACTCTGGCAGCTTATGTGCAGCGCACACCACATTTTGACTACTTAACTTCAATTGTTACAGTGGCAAGTTTAAATGTATTTTGTTGCACATAAGTGCAGCATAAATACAAATTTATGGTAAGTGCATGCGAAGTTAGTCACATATTCATCTGTATATATAGGTGCATTACAGGTTATATATAATACAAACAGTTTTAAACTCCTTACTTATACGTATCAATGTAAAGAGGTGTCAGTGGGTGCCAATTTTTTATATATACGTAGCTAGGAACTAACGCATATAGTTATATTCTTTATGTAATGATATTTCACATTTATGTATTTTCATATAGTGCCACAAAATGTGGCATACAATTGTCATGTGTGGCTTACTAGTGTACATGAGTAGAAGTGTCGACCCATCATCGAGACCAACGCCACCCAACGTAGGCGTACTCCTGACTCTACCGTACTGCATTGTCAATGGTGAAATTCCCGGTTGATCTCCAACCGAATATTTGTGTATTTGACTGTCACTTTGTCAGACAGACAAAAGTACAAAATTGTCATATGTTCGTTCTTTCGTATTATTGTTGCAACTGCCATGCTACTGTTGCGGCTGTTAGCGTTGCAGCCGCCACTGCTACCACTATTGTTGTCACAGCTGATGTTGACAGTTATAAGGCAATGGTAGCAATATTGGTTTTGTGTCAACTCGAATACAGTCTATTTGAATGTTTTGCATTCCCCAGCCGCTTGGCTGCCTTGCGCGTGCCGCCCTGTTGCCTCGTGTTTTGCTCTACAGCGTTTATGCCATATGTCTCCCTAATCGGATCACACTGGCTCAGAAAATTGTTGTAGTAGATTTTATGGCACAACCAGTGAACTGCCAGCATTTGGCTCTGGCAAAGAGTTGAACAACCCACATTGAGGTTGGTAACAGCACAACACAACAAAAAAAAAGGTAACAAAAACAATAGAAGAAGACGCTAAAAATGGCTTATATTGTCCCATACAAAAGCACTTGGAGCAGCAAATTGACATGTGTTTGCATATGCGACTGCATGTACTTCCATATTTGCGTATATGTGTGTGTGTGTGTTTGCAGGGGAAATGCTCGTAAATAAATTAGTAAAGTTGTGGAATATAACTTTTGTAAAATTCCACACAAGCATTCTTTTTCTGATTTGTTGGATCATTTGTTTCGGAAATTGCAGAGTGTTTTGTCAAAATTTTTAGAAAAGTTGGTAACAATATATGCAAATTACTTAAAGCAATAATATGAGTAAAGACAATTAAAATTATTAAAATTTTATTTTGAATTTATGAAAGTTTATAAAAATGTTCTGCATAATATTCAAATTCAGTAATACAAATTTGTATTAATAACCAACTAATGCTTTACATTTATAAAACACAATAGATATTATACTTCATTAACTAATATCGATTACGGCTCTTATATAGTTTATAACCTTGACTCTAAATATAGTCAATAGGTTTAACAATTTGGACTCGGGCGCACAACAATTTTTATGCTGCCTTGAATGTGGCCGATTGGCGTCAGATGTTCAACCAACTTGCCCTAGTTTCGACAATAAAAGCGACGGGATTACTGATTTCGAGTTGAACTTCGACTTTGTTTTCATTTTTGCATTTTGCATTTATATGCTCTCTCCTAAGCTGTTATCTTGCCCATGATTTTGATTTTGGTTTAAACGTTCACTATGACAATGACTTCATTGAGCCCCAATATTTATACAGGTCTCTTTGTTACAACCAATGTTACAGTTAAGTATTTTTAATTACGGTAATTGCAGCAGTTATTCGGACATGTCTCGGAAAAAAGGAGAATTGCGGGGACCTCTTAGCTTGTTGCTGAATCATTTGACATCAAAGAATCAAGATTCATTCGTTTGATCGGAGTTAGGTAAAGCCAAGTGAGTTTGTAGACATTTTAATTTTTTTTTTTTTTGTACACTTTGAAGGAAAAAACTAGTTTTTCGGTTAATATTTTTTTGTTACACATAAATTCTAACAAATTTGCAAATAAAGGTACTCATAAAATATCTACAGCCATAGTGTTCAAAATTTCAAAGGATTAGTGCAGTTGTTTTAAAGTTATGAAGGGCACTGACTTTGGAATAGTAAGTTGGGAGGAAAACGTTTTTATGTTACAGACAGATATAAAAATACTTGCAACTCCAACAATTTTACTAGAATCGACTTGACTTAAAACAGTGTCATCCCAGATAATTTTTTATCAAAAATTTTTCTTATCTCAATTAGGCTTTTCAATTACATAAATACGCTGGACTTCGTAGGAAAATTGAAACAAAACAAAAAAGTAGAAAAAATCGGTTAATACTTCGATTTTCTTTATGGATAGTGCAAATAGTAGCAGGGAATTAATGTAAAAGTAATGCAATTTGCATTTGCATCTTAGAACATTTTAACAGACTTAGAAAAAAAGTGGGATGCACTAATAACTAAAATAATTTTTTGGCAATATTTTCCAAAATGCCAAAAAAAATTTATTATTTGACACAGTTATTCTAGCAACAAATCATTCCCTTGACCCACAATCGGCAAACAGTTTATTACAACATATTTCCAAAAGTTCAGCCTTCATATAATATTTATTACTTATTCCACTACGAACCAAATATGCTTGTATTTGTGCAGCAATAAATTCGTTACAATCAATTTGCCAACAGTTGCCAACTAATGTCCCCTTTCTATTTTCACACAGAACACTAACAAAATTCAAATAATACAGAGAATCAGCTGCAAATCGCTGACGCCACATGCTGTGACGAATTGAATTGAACTACTTTAGAAACAAACAAACAAACACATAAATAAAAGTTCAACTCATAAAGTGACGTCAGCTTTTGCCGCTTGGCGTTGCTATCTTGTATGATTGCTTTGCTGCCCATGGCTTAGGCGTAGTAAGATTTGTTTTCAGCCAGTTAGGCGCCCCCCATCGGCTCTTGGCTGCCAGCAGCAGCATCAGCGACAGAAGCCAGAGGAGGCACTAACACTGCCACTTATATGCTTGCTTCTAACTGCTGCTGCCTTGTTGTCCTATCGTCCACCCTTAGCATCAGCTTATTGCTGATTAAATGTCAAAATGTGATAAGCGACAGCGTGGCGCTGATTTTACAGCCTCAATTGTCGTTAACTCGGCTGTTTGCTCCGCACCCCCTGTTAGCTGTGACGAAAGCACTTGGCCTCAACATCCTTTCGTGCCATGTCATTGGTGTCATATTCTTGCGCTAGTGGCTTGTTCTATTTAAACGGCGTAGTCTTATGCTGCCTCTTCTTCATCTCCTTCGCCTGACATTTGCCTTTTCAATTTGTGCCGCCTTAAGTTTTATTGTGCATTCTTTCGCTTTTATATGACAATTGTATCGTGTTTCAAAAGCAAGTTGAAATTAATGTTAAACAAATTTAAAGTTGAACTCTCAGCAAATTTACTGCTTCCACCTTGTCTGTACCAAAAACTAATTATATTACTGTAATCAAATAGAGATATGTTTCTCATATTCTACTCATGTATCGACGAAGCGCTGTAAATCACTCAAACATTTGTTGAGGCGTCTAGTATTAATTCTAGTCTATTAACCCGATTTTTCAAAGGCTCATCTATTAAGAAGTTGCCAATCTAGTAAAAGCTTAAGAGCGTGGTGAAAGTAACTAGATATTTTCACCTTAGATACGAGATTGTCAATCTTCCCTCTAGTATTTACTTTTCGAAGATCGAAAAAGTTGAGTAATATAACACAGCAAAGTCTCGGCTGACTCCTAAATAATAAAACAAATTTACTTGGAGAACTGTAGGCGGTTAAATCAATAAAAAATGTCTAAAAATAATATAGAAGCATATATCTTTAGTTAGTTATCAATTTAGATCAACATAGCGCCAATTAATGCTGATGCTAGATATACTTATATCAAAATTGTTAAAGAGCATTGAACTATTCCACTCAAACAAGCTTCTTAATCCATCCATAACAATTCATTCATTGCGTCATATGTATAAATATTATATATGTCTTTCTTTACGTAATAATACTTTCCAATAACGGCCTAGAGTTCACTG